GTGGCTTCGACCAGAACACCTCGTAGAGTTCTGGTCGCACTTCTGAACCCGTTACAGCAATAAATGCCCAACGTTTATATCCTTTAATGCAGCGTTAAATGGACAGTTCATGGACGATTCAATGCCCAACAGACTGGTCATTGATGTCCAACGTTCAGGTCCATTAATTCACCATTTACACACAACAAATCCTCCTATATAATGGCTGGCAGGTGGTTTGCAACAACACACGTTTTTACACGAATCCATGCACGTTTTAGCTCTAAAAACACACTGTTCAGACTTGTTCTCGTTCGCTGGAACTTTTGTTTGTGTGCTCAAACATTAGTTCGTAGTCATCGTATCCTGGGAAACTATTGTTGCAACGCTCCTAGCACCGTGGGAGGCAACAAATACGTTTTAAGGAAATCGTGCGTAGCACGAGCTTTGTTTAATTCTGCTTCATCTCCTTTCTTGTTTTTCTCTTGTCATTTTATTTATTTAATTTATTTTAATTAATTTTCTTTATTTTCCGAAACACACTCAACAAGTGCACCATACAATTGTCATTGTGCAAGCTTAATCCCCCCTCTGCCCGATGCATATTAATAACAACACACTAATGGAGTAATCTATTCTAGTGCATAACAAGGCAATATAAGTAGTCAAACATTAGAACAAACAACATAACAATTAAAAATTGAATTAACATATTATCAACGGGACTATGGATAAAACACCTAATTTTTAAAAAAGTGAGAGCATTTAGAGTTTAGACCATTAGATTGATTTTAAACATATTTAGCATTCTCCGATCCATTCTATATTTTCCTTTTCTATCATATGTGTGATAGACAAATAAAATTATAATGCGTATAATAATTTGCACAGATATCTACATAACATTGCACTATTAATGAATGTAGATGTAACATGTTGGACCAAGTGAAGTGCACTTTTATCTTGTGCATTTGACATATACAAAAATGTACTATTATATCATACTTTCTATTATTTTACATTGACACTTTTTACAAAATTCAATGCACTTTTTCTTCCAAATGAATCATAATTTTTCCATTGACATAACACCCTGCAAAAGAAGTAAAAAATTAGAAACAAACGAAACTGCAAACCAAAGTATGATAAGTGCAGACCGAAGTATGATAAGTGCAGTAACAATTAATTATAATTAATTATTAAGATTACTAAAAAGATGAATCCAGCATATGATGTCTTGAACGTATGATGAATCAACCAACGTTTTCCTTTAAAAAATATTTAGTATTACAAAATTTTAGATGAACCCAACAGTCCAATAGATGATCAATTCATATACATGTACTTTGATCAATATTACAGAGAAGTTGAAGTTCAATCTTCAACAACAATCCATGAATTTAAAAAATAAAGCTCAACAAAAACCTGAATTGAAATAATGGCACACTCAAATTGTTTACATACGAAAAAAATATTAGTGGAAAAATATTAAAAAATGTTATAGAAAAATATTGTCTTTCTTCTCCTCTCCGGCGTTGGCCGCGTTGCAGAGGTCGCCGCCACCATATGTGTCAAGCAAGGTGAAGAAGGTGGTGGGGTTGAAGTCCAATAAAAAAGAACAGTAAAGAAAATGAAGAACAATGATTAATAAACCGTGTAGATGGAGCAAGATTCTAGGTGGCAGTTATGGAAACAAACGGTGTGCTAAGGATGGTAAGATGATAAATCCTTGATTTGCCCTTAATGAAGAACGCACGGGAAGTAAGAAAAAAAAAAAAACAAAATCCAAGGGCTGATATCTATTCTTATTTCTCTCCTTATATATAGGGGAGGGTTATAGTGAGAACCTCTTCTAAAATGAGAACTCATTTTAAAATGAGAACTTCTAATCTCCATCATTAATTTTTATCATCAATGGTTAATAATGACAAGGTGGATTAATTGCATAAGAACCCCTTTTGAATTTGGGATAATTATGAATATGACCCCATGTGAATCATAATCATTGATTGCGATTAATGAAAAGTTGAGATTTAAAGTTCTTATTATAAAGAGTTCTCATTTTAGGAGGGGTTCTCACTAGAACCCTCCCCTATATATATATATATATATATATATATATATATATATATATATATATATATATATATATATATATATATATATATATAGGGGAAAGATCAAGTACAAAGTGTGCTTATTGTGCAAATATTTGTACGATGCACTTTGACGTTATTTGCATTGCATATTGAGGTTCAAAATATTGCACATTATAAAGTCATAAAAATAACAGTTGCACATTAAGGTGCAACGAGTTGCACCCTAAAAAGTTGGGTTTTATTACAAAAATGCCACCTTGCCTTTATGTCATTTGGATCAACTCATCGGACGGTCAAGATGAGTTTGTACTTTGTAAATTAAGAAGGCTTTGTATTTGATCTCTATTCTATATATATATATATAAACTATATGCAAACAATTAGGGTAAACACTTAATAAAGTTCTGGGCCTGACTGCTACCAAAGAAACAAACCCAACTAGGGTTGCTGGCTGCATGCACATTTAACTAGGCTGGCTGTTACTCTTTGTTTACTTGACTCTCAAATCTGAGTAGGCCGAAGCCTACAACCCAACAATCTCCCACTTGGAGGCTTTGAGACACGATCAGCTGCAATCCACTCCTTTGTACTTCTGTAAACTTCATATGTGGTTTAGCTCCTCTTAGTTGCCACCTGTCTTCTCAACATTATTCTTGAAGGCCAGCTGAAGTTACGCAGAACTTCAGCTTGTCCGGTGTCACAAATTTAGTGAACATATATCTGCTGGATTCTTTGCACCTGAGATGTTCTTCAAATTCACTATTCCTCCCCTGATCAACCCTCTAACAATATGATATATCATCCCAACGTGCTTTGTTTTCCCATGATAGACTCAATCCTTGGCTAGTTACATTGCACTCTCATTATCACAATGTAACGAGTATCTTGCTTGCTTTTTGTCTAACTCTTCAAGTAAGTTTCTCAACCAACCCAACTCTTTAGTTGCTCTAGATGTAAGCCCTCTGCAGCTACAATACTTAGAACCAATCTAATGGCTAGTTACATTGCACTCTCATTATCACAATGTAATGAGTAACTTGCTTGCTTTTTGTCTAACTCTTCAAGGAAGTTTCTCAACCAAACCAACTTTTTAGTGGCTTCAACAAATATTTACCATGTATTCTGCTTTGATTGTTGAAAGTGCTACACTTTTCTGAAGTTTCGACATCCAATTAACCGCAGCTCCTCCCACTGTGATAATGTACCCCGTAGTGCTTTTAAATGTCTCTTTGCATCCACCCAAATCAGCATCAAAATATCCTCTCAGAATTATGTCTTTACCTCTGAAACATAACCCCACTTTGTAGTACCCTTCAAATACCTAAGTATCCATTTATCTGCTTCCCAATGTTCTCTCACCGAATTTGACATGAAGCGACTAACAACCCCGACTGCATGAACAATATCTGGTCTTGTGCACACCATAACGTACATGAGGCTACCGACCGCAGATACCAAAGGAACTTTCCATATCTATTTTCTCTTGGTCCGTTCTCGGAGGATGGTCTTTGATAAGCTTGAAGTGACTTCCCAACGACGTGTTTCTCGATTTTGTCTTCTCGCCATTCATATTGAATTTCTCTAACACTTTCCTGGTTTACTTCTCCTGGGATAGTGTTAAAGAACCATTCTCCTTGTTTTTGACTATGCTCATCCCGAGTATCTGTTTGGCTAGACCCAAATATTTCATTTCAAACTCTTGAGACAATTGTTTCTTTAACATGCCGATCTCTATCATATCTGCACCAACTATCAACATATCATCTACATAGAGTAGTAGAGTGATATATGAACTATTGAACCTCTTCACGTAACAACAATGGTCCATCTCACATCTTCTTTACCCTGTCCTTATCATGAAGTTATCAAACTTCAGATACCACTGCCTTGGTGCTTGTTTCAGACCATATAAGCTCTGTTTTAGTTTGTTAACCAAATTTTCTTTGCCAGCAACCTGAAATCCACCAGGCTGTGAGTTGTAGCTATTCTTATCAATATCGCCATGTAGAAATGTTGTCTTACATCTAGTTGCTCTAGATGTAAGCCCTCTGCAACTACAATACTTAGAACCAATCTAATGATGGTCATTCTATTCACTAGAGAAAAGATCTCATTATAATTCACTCCCTTTTTCTGCTGAAAATCTTTGACCATTAAATTAAACGGGCTTTGTACCGTTTTGACCGATCAGGTTCATCCTTGATTCTGGATACCCATTAATTTTGAAGTGCCTTCTTACCTGGCGGAAGCTTAGTAGCTAGGCGCCCAACTAGTCCCCAGCTAGGCGCTAGGCAGTAGTTGGGCGCCCCGATTTTAGTCTAGGCGCCCCGACTAATTGATTTGGCGCCTAGGTGAATTAGTCGGCTGCCTAAGGTGCCTAACTACCCGCCTAGAGCGCTTAATCGGCCGCCTAGGCATACAGAGTATGTATCTTTAACTCTAACAACGCATATGAAGAAAGCTACTAGTTGTAGATTAAAATAAATTCTATACGTGTTTTATATATTCTTAAGCGTTATTATTATTTATCAATAATAATTACGTAGAATTACTTGAAGTTAAGAAGTAAGTATGTATAATATGTTATTAAATGTGAAAACTCTTATCATGCATGCATGTTAGTGTGTATGCGTGTCTTTATATTTTATATACACATAAACACAACATCACTAATAATATATATGCAAACATATTAATAAAACTATCATTTGTATGCCTCCGATTAATCCCCGCCTAGGCGCCCGCCTAGCCGCCTAGGCGCTAGGCGCTGTGCTGGCGCCCGCCTAGCGCCTAGCGCCTTTTAGAACATTGGTAAAGACTGATTATCACTATCGGTGATGCAAGGACCGATGAAATAGTATAGAAGCTAGAAGATAGGAATTTATGCATACCAAACATGGACAAATTACTCACTATAATTTTTTTTTTGAAAATCAAATAACTTTATTAATCACTATTGTTCAAAACATGAATAATACAATCAGGAGGAGAATCCAACCAAGTACCGCCAGACCCAGAACAAACCTCTCTAGCTAGAATATGAGCCGCCTGATTCGCTGTACGGTGCACATATTGGACACTTATATTGGTAAAATCAACCATCACATGTCTAATATTTCTAAAGATGATATCATTGTTGTGTAAACCGTCTTCCTGAGCAAGTCCCTGCAAAATCTGTTTAGCATCTGATTCCACGACAGCCCGTTGCCATCCTTGCTCTAACGCCCACTTGACCGCTTCCTCAATAGCCATTGCTTCCGTCGTGCCTGATGCATATCTACCCTTCCGTCAAATGTTTTTTCCTACAAGAAAAAACCCCAGACTATCTCATACCACCAGCCCCAACCCTCTTATATCACCTATATTTGAGGTAGCGACATCCACATTTATTTTCACCCACCCCTCTTCCGGTGGTTTCCACATTTCGCTATGCCTTGCCGAAGTCAGCTCCTGGGGGGCGGAAATTTGTGCAGCTTTCCATCCGTCTAGCACGGTTTCGCCACAAGCAATGACACCTTACATGTTTGGATTTAAAATTTTCCAAACTTTTTCATTCCGCGCCTTCCATAAGCTCCAACACAGATCATGACAAACTTCCCGAACTCAGCCTTCGTGCTACTGGTTGCCACCGAAGATGCCCACACCCCAAAGTCGTGGCCTGGAATCTACAAAAAGCTGCTGCCCCTGTTGTGCCATACCGACCGAGCAAAGGTGCAGTCTTGAAGGACATGAAGGGAGCTTTCCTCTTTATGCCCACATATCAAGCATTTTGGCCATAACGGAACTCTACGTTGAATCAACCGTTGTTTACTCGGTAAACAATCCACACAAGCTTGCCAAAAGAAATTTTTTACCTTCGGAGGTATATCAAGCTTCCATATCTTCGTCCAGCCAACATCTGGCAACGTACTATGGGTGATTCGCTTATAACAAGTGCGGACTGAGTAGACACCCTTGTCGTCATCCGCCCAAATGAGTTCGTCCTCTCCTTGTTCTGGCCTCAATGGAATGCTTGCTATGAGGTTTCTTTCTTCCGGTTGAAAAGGATCATCTAATAAGTCGTAGTCCCAACCTATTCCATCATTTAACACGAGGGACTTCACGAAGATGTCCTCCAGCCCCTCAATCTCGTTTCAAGCCGGCCTGCAATCTTTAGAATAAAAAAGCCAGTTATCCTTCCAAACTTTTACCGAATTTGTTATACAGTACTTGGTACTAAGGATTTTTTCTTTTGGACTGTTTTCAGTCACAGACCAGACCAGATCAGACCAGACTTGACTTCCGTAGTTATAAAATACACAGAGACCAGACGTTTACCAGACCAGACCAGACCAGATCAGACCAGACCAGCAAATTTCAGTCCAAAAGAAAACGTCCTAAACAAAATTAAATGAGAAAAGGTGCAAATAGGCCCATGAGAAGATAACTGCGCAGTTATCTTCAAAAATTCATTTGAATGCCTTCCCGATTGACGTTTTAGCTGAAATTTGGTATGCGTAAACTAGACTTGCTGAGTAAGATGCTCAAAAAATTTCATAAAAAAATTCCACCGGGAACCACCCCAAATGACGACGGCCGTACAAAGCCTGTTAAATAAGGGCTTATTTGACTTTTTTTTGGTCAGTTTTTATAGAATCTTTATTACAACCATTCCCATTTAAGATCTTTTTATTCAAATATTCAAAAGTTTTCCTCGTTTGCTGACACTACGGCACTAGTGCGCGACTGGAGGACTGAGCCTTTCACATCGCAGCTGGGACAAACCACAAAACCCTTAAAAGAAAGTCTTAAACCTCGAGCGCTGAACCTCCAGTAATGCTGTAACTCTCTCTACGAATGGCTGTTTCCAGCAATTGTGTAAAGCACATTGAATCATTCGTCAGCTCTTCTAGCTCTCCTGCCCAACAGGTTCATGCCCAATCTTCATGGTTTTCTTTTCTGCCTCTCTGTTTAATTTGGCTGAGCAACTCAGGAATCTCCACCTGGCTATATACGCTGGTTGAGTTCACTACTATGCGTATATTTTCTATGAATTTGTTTGAACAATTATCTTTGGTTGTAATTCAGTACAGACGGCCTTGTATGCGTAGTTAATGTGCTCTGTTAATGTGTTTGGGTTACAGGCTGCAAGTGTAGAAAATATAGCTTCGCTTGTGAAAAATGACCAGTTAACATTAGACGGACTGGTATGTTTATTAAGTTCTCCCCTATGAATCGACAATTTTTATGTAATTAGCTGTGTTTCTCATTGCTTGGGAATGGAACACTGTTTACTTATAGGTTAGGGAGATGGATATGTATTTGACGACTACAGATACCATCATTCGCTCAAGAGGTACCATTCTCTTATGTTATACAGAGTAATGTATTTGTTTTGGGGTTAATTCTGAGAAACAATATGACCACTGGTAGCTTATAACTGATATTGTTGCACATCTGACAAAAGGGTTCAAAAATAGATAAGCAGTACATAGTATGTGTGAATATATTCCCACTTTCATCTCCCAAATACTATTACCAATTCTACCTTACTTCCTGAGTTTGGAACTTGATATCTTTTTACCATGCAATACTAAAAGGTTGACATAAATTATCTTTCAGTTAGGATGTCTTCAGGAAGAACTCAAGCTGAATGGCCCTTTCTGTTCATTTTTACTACTTCAGTCATTCTTGATTCATCATTACAAATTTTAGCATCGGGGAGGGGGGGGGGGGGTTCTACCAAATGGTTCAATAATTCCAATGCTTTTAGAGTTCTAGTTTTTAGTATCTATATTTATTAGTAGAAATCACTTCCATCTGTTGCTTAAAACATGAATTTTCCTTATATGATTATTTAATTTCAATGTTTAGGGTGCTTATTGTAGTAATACTTATTACTCCCTCATGTCCCAATTTGGTTGTCTTACTTTCCTTTTTGAGTTGTCCCAAAATGAATGTCCTGTTTCCTTTGTTGGCAAGAAATATGCAGTCCATATCATTTCACTTTATTCTACTCAAATCTCAACTACAACTTTTACTTTTCAACCACTTTGTTAATAATCGTACATTCGAACCAAACTAAAACAAGACATCCAATATGGGACGGAGATAGTATTAGTTAATTGGGGCTGTGCAGGTTACTGTCCCATTGTGAATTAACATGATACATTGCCCCCCTCTTTTTGAGTTATATAGCACAAGTCAAAGAAGATTCCAATGGTTGGCTAAATAACTAATATAGAGAAATTGGCTTAACACATTGTTTATATTATATTTATATACTGTACGAATATATGTATATTAGGCATATTGTGTGTGCGTGTGTATATGTGTATAAATATATAATATTGAAATAACAAAATTTCAGTAACGTGAAAAATAATACATCCATCCCCTGATGAGGGTAGAAAGTAATAAAAAAAATTGTGATTACTTTTTTCAGTATCTTTCATGTGTTTGGTTCGATGTGGTGCCTTCCAGGGATCCTTCTCCTTGGGCATGTATTGGAGGAATTATCACTGAAACCTTTAAAAGGTGCTGCTATACAGAGTTTGACAGGATTCTTCATAGAGAGATTGGTGAGGCAACAATATAGTCTAGAATAGTAAAACAAAATATTCTTTTTTTTTTCCATTTCTAGTTTTGTGCTGAATGTATCCAATTATTGCCAATTCGCCATGATATCTTCCATCATTTTGTTTTGCATGGCAATAACCCCTGTCAGTTATCATTTGAATTCTATTTGATAGATGAACTTCTACTCATATCAGGTTGATTGGAAAGCTTTGCATGGCGCTCTAGTTGGTTGCTTGGCACTATTGAGAAGGAAACACATTGTTGGCAAGGTCACAGACAGCCAAGCAAAGGCTGTTGCACAATCTTTTTTGGAGACTATGCAAGTGCAATCTTTGGGACGACATGAAAGAAAGGTACAGACGTACAGTAAGTTTTATCGTGGATCATTGGTGATTTGTCCATCAAACTCAAGCAAACTAACTCCTTCCTGCATATGGATTTAGCTTATTTAAATCTTCCTTCTGAGCTAGCATATTCCATTCTTGCAGCTTTGCTTTCAAATTTTGGAATGCTTATTAAACAGCTTTCCAGATGCAGTCGAACCAATGGTAAATCCACTGTCTGATCATTTTTACTTCTGTCATCATGGTAAACAAAATATCTGAAAATTTAAGTTTTTAATTTCATTTGAATTTAGTAACTGCACATTGCAATAACTGTCTGCTTTCATTGTGATGATATGTCCAAAAGTAGACACTTGAATGAGGTGCACTTTGAAAATATTGTGCCTTAATCTATGCAGCAGAGTAAATAACTAAGCCTCTGTATCGATAAATTGATTTAAGGAAAAGGCTAAGAACTAAACTTTGTATTCTCACTAGGCTCGTGACAAATCAAATGTAGAAGTTTGCTTTGGTTTCCAACTTTCTTACAAGGATATAAGTGGTTAACCAGTTCTTGTTCTACAGCTAGGAGAATTGTTGAACTTGAACCCAAAAGCCAGATTTCTTCTTTTTTCTATATCCATTTTTTTTCTCCTAGAAAATGAAAATTTCCCCTTTTCGAAACAGGCCATGAATTTTGCTGTGACACCCACTTATATTTCCTGATGGTTTTTCTGTTATTTCAAATCTTTAAACTAGTTCTTTGACATCTTTCTAAGCACAAGACTCTGCTATGATTGGTAACCAAATAAATTGTTTCTTCTTTCTGGTGGTGCCCAAGGGTGATGTCCTTGTTTATGGAATCTGTGAATCGATTGATGGTGAAAAAGATCCACAATGCTTGATGCTCATATTTAGGATTGTTGAAGCTCTAGCGCGGGTGTTTCCTCATTCTTGTGGTTCACTAGCAAGTTATGCCGAAGATCTTTTTGAGATTCTTGGGTGTTACTTCCCTATCCATTATACACATGTGAGATCACCAAATTTATTCTTACTTTATTTTGTTGATGCTATCTCGCTATTATTTAGGTTTATTTTATTAGTTATTACTTGAAAAGGATAAAACAATTTTTAATGAACTTAGAATCTAATGCTAGATCCCTTAATTGGTTATGTTGCTGTTTGTTCTTATCACTTCTTACTTTTCTTTCTGATGCTGCTGCATTTGTTCTTTCTAATATCCAGTCAAAAAGCCAGGATGTTGATATAAAGAGGGAGGAGCTCTCACAGGCACTGATGGTACGCCTTTGTCTGAAATGTACTCTATTCTACCATCAAGCCTTCCATTTGGAAACTCTTCTGTGCCTTTTTTTTTTACCAATATTTCTATTATTCAGTCTGTATCGAAACATATTAGTTAGTAAAACAAATTGTTTTAGAGAAATGTTGAGATGTCTTAAGCAGTACATATTAGATATTTAGATTAGATCTATTTGATGAGACACGTGCCAATTGCATCTTATTTCTTCAATGTCCTAATTTTCCTAGGATATATACCTATCTTGAGATTCCAATAGCCATCACCCATTAATTAATGTATGTTTGCTGATTTCAAATTGACTTGGTTTTTTAGATTGATTCACACTAAAGAAGCTTGGAACAGAATCAATATCTATATTTTACTTGGAACAGTACAAGTAGTGTGTGTGTGTGTGTGTATAATACCACTAAAAACTAAGGCACCAAGGGGGGTACTAAAAGAAGTGTGGCAAAGAATTCCTATTAAAAAGAAACTTAAAAGTGTGAATAGTAGGTCTTTTAAACATTTTGTCCAGAAGCTTGTCTAATGACGTAGTACTTACAGTCTGTGCGCTAGAATCAATAACAACCCCCTCTAAGTAGGGTTTCTCAATTTCTTCCAAACCAAACAGGGATGCTGCCTCCCATACATTTGGTACCATTATTATCATTTGAGTACCTGCTTTGTTGTTATTGCATCTTGTTTTGGGTTCACTTTTATGGTTACACGAGCATCATATTCATTTTTTCATCTCTTTTTGTGTGTGTGTTCCAGCTGGCATTTGCGTCTACACCTTGTTTTGAACCATATGTAATTCCATTACTTCTTGAGAAACTATCTTCTGATTTGCCGTCAACAAAGGTTAGTTCAAGTGTACAAATCACTGTTAAGCATTGGGATTCAAACCAAAATTGAATACCTTTATTCATTTCTTAACTCTCTGTTGAAGCAGGTTGAATCTCTCAAGTTCCTTAGCTACTGCACATTGAAATATGGGGCGGATAGAATGCAAAAGCATTATGCAGCTCTTTGGTCGGCACTGAAAGATACAATATTTGTCAAACCACAATCTGCAGTGTTAATAGAATCTGGATTAGTTGATGGTATATATTTTCAAGAGAGTGAAATAATGATTCAAGCTGTAGAGCTGCTTCAGACAATTGTTCAGCAAAGTAATGGTTCTTTCGTAAGTACTATTCTGGATGATGAAGACATAAAGACATTTATAAACTCATTGAATGAGTTGAAAGATCTTGGTAATGCTTCTCTACAAAACAAACAGAGATTGCATGCAGTTGCTTGTATTCTCTCAACTCCTGCCAGATCTTGTGTAGCTTCTTGTGATGCAGTTTTCAAAAGCGTATTCACTCTCTTAATGGATGCATTAAAAATTTCTGATGATACTGTGTCTAAAGATATCATTCTTACTTGTACAACATTCAATTTTGGAGCCTTGTATCTCTCTGTTGAACTACTGTCAGCATGCAGACATTTGGTGTTGTTGAGCTATGATGGTATAGTGCCTTCTCCTGATTTTCCCAGTATGCCTTGGTGCGGCATACTACGTGGCTTCTCTACTTCATTAAGCGTTTTCTTAATTTCTCTCCTACACGCACCTGGTGCTGAAAGCTTGCCGAATGTGTATATTTACTATGCAGGTATAGAGAAACACTCTTATATGAAACACTGTTTGTTTTTACACTTTCTCTTTGTGCTTTAGTACAGGGGTAAGACTGCATACATTTGACCCCCCTTACCCCACTGTAAGTGGAAGCCTTTGCGGCACTGGGGTAATGTTGTTGTTGTTTGTTGATTTTGACAAGTTTCACCCACCTTTCTGTTTTTTACCCAATGCAGTTAATGGTTTGAAGACTCTTGCTATGTTTCCGGGAAGCTTCAGTTCAGTGCCAATGCCTATTTTTGAGAATGTTTTGTTAACTTTGATATCAGTAATCACTACTGATTTTGACAAAACATTTTTATCGAGAACTGCATTGAAAGCTTTAGTAGATATTGGTTTGTATATTGATAAGTTCTGTGAAGTTGAGAAAGTTTCAAGCTTTGAAAGTATTGTCATGGAAAAACTTGCTTTCCTGATATCTTCGGATGACCATACCGTGCCTCTGTCTTTCAAACTCCAAGCAAGTTTTGATATTGGAGTTACTGGGCTGAAGTATATGAAGAAAGTAGTTCAGGAATTGGACAAGACACTATCTGACAAATTGTCTCATGTATTTGTACGTATATTGTTGGTCAACATATTCAATAAGTTGACATGCTGAGGCGGCTTAGAATCCAGTTGTTCATATAAAATTTTGCTATGTAATGTCATCATCAGACGGTGTTAGAGAATACATACCATGAGGCATTGACATCAAAGGCTTTAACATGCATCCCAGTTCTTTTTTTCATTATTGTGCTCATGATTATCTTTTAATTAATACGTGCTATGGCAGGTCAGTGAGAATGTGAAGTTGATCCGGATGACAATCTCACTATTGGACTGCTATGCTGGGAAGGTCCTTTCATGGCATGCATCTGCTCTCAGTCTCTACGTGCTATTATCTGTAGCCCTTACCTTCTACACTAGTATCTTCATCTAACCCTTGATTTTTTAATGGGAAAGTTCCCGAAATAGGACTAAAACAGTTTGAAAATTCCAAAACAGGACTGCCATGTTTTTTTATTCCCAAAACCAAAATAGGAGTAATTACTGCCACATTTGGAAAATACTGCCATATTTGAAGTCTGGTACTGCCAAAACATGGCAGTAATTAGTCGTATTTTGGGAATAAAAACATGGCAGTCCTATTTTGGAATTTTCCAACCTTTCTAGTCCTATTTCGGGTAATACTCTTTTTTAATTTGTCACAAATGAGATATTTTACAACTTATGCAGGTGGCCATTCTCCACCACCTGCTCAACATTGAACCATACTGTTTCTTACTGATATATGTGCATCAAATTCTCCAATTACTAACATTGTTGGATATTTTATGCTTCTTTGCTAAATTCGTAGTACTTGTTTAACAATTAACATATGATCCATAATCCATTGACACTGGCTAGTGGTTATTGATTAGGCATGTCAAGTTTCCAAAGGACTACAAACGACAATTTTTTACTAAGACTGTACTTGATGTTCCAATTTAAAATCAACTAGCTCTATTCTTTGCATCCTTTTTCCACAAGTAAGCCATTGTGTGCCGATGAAAGCTGGTAAGTTCATCGGTCCACATGGTTGTCCATGTCTTAGTAGAAGATTCTGCAGCTACTGCAGCCCCCCCCTCTTCTAGGGTAGGCCTGTCAACGGGTCGGGTTCGGGCCGGAATATAGTGCTCCAGACCCGGACCCGTTAGCCTCTATATTGTTCCGGACCCGACCCATATACCCGGCGGGTCTAGAACTAATGTTCCGGACCCGTACCCATCGGGTATCAGAACCGGGTCGGTAGACCCGACCCGTCTCACAAGAATCTTAACTCCAATTTCTTAAATAAAAAAACATGACTTCTTACTACCAAGTCTTTTTTGGGAATAGTACAGTGCACTATAATTACATGTTTGTAATTACTCGACACAAACCAACAATATAAACATGATGACTCCAGATCTACGCATTCAAAATTGAACACGTAAGGTGCATTAAATCTATTCTCTTTGAATCTGCAAAAACCTAAGGTTTATCCAAAGAGTCTCTTTGAATCTACGATAATAATAGAAAAATAAAATCCAAAATAAGTTCTATTTGACTTTTACAAAAACACAAATCTCAAGGAGTTTGGTAAGTTGATATAAGCCTCTTTACCTTCTCTAGTTCTTTGTGAGTTACTTTATATGGAATAACTTGTAAGATACGTAGTACGGAGTATTAGGGTAAATAGTAATATTAAATGCTTAGGATTTAACTATAGTACGTAATAGTAATGTGGGTGACATATTATATACAGGGTATATATGTATATATAACGGGTCGGGTCCTAAACGGATCGGAACCACATATACCATACCCGACCCATTTAATAACGGGTCCGGATCCGGGTAACGGGGAAAAATATAGACCCATATCCATTAAAAAAAGACGGATCCGGGTCGGGTCCGGGTCTAGACCCGACCCATTGACAGGCCTATTCAAGGGGGGCTCCGGCGGAGTAGTTACTTGAAATGCTGCCAAGAAATCAGTATCATTGTCTGGTAATTAGGAGTATAATAAGTCAATTTGTAATCCTTAGCACCCGCTTTGAATCCAAGATGTGCTTTAGTCTCTGTGGTGACATAACTCAGCGCTTTGCATTTTTTATATTAAAATACCACAGTTTGCCATACAACCGTAACTGGTGATGTAAAATGATTTTTCATGTCTCCAGGTTTCATAACAATGGAGGTTCTGATGAAGTCCCTTTGAATCTTGCATTTGTTATATTGGAAAATATTGAAACAAGTTTGCGTTCCAGCATTGGTTTTCAGGAAACTGTAAGTGAGTTGATGTTTTTAACACTGTCAGTTGATTTAGCATTAAATGCTATATTGACTAGTCTATGTTATCAGTTTTCTATTGGTATCAGATGCAATTGAGTTATGGATTGATTATTGATTCTATGCATATAATACTCTTCATTCAGGAACTTCTTGACGCGATAACGAGAGCGCTGAAACATGCCGTAGCCAACTGTTCAGAGAGAAACCAGGAGAAAATTATTATAAGAGCTTTTGACTTGATTTCTTCAGATTCATTTGAGGATTCAAAACCTTGTATTACATTATTCAACTCCAGTGACGGACAACTTACTAGATTCTTGGATGAAATTTCATGCAGAGATGAATGCATTGCGTCACTTATTGCCTCAGTCATAATAGCTTTACGCCCTCAAAGTCACGTACCAAATCTTAAACTGTTATTGGAGTTCTTTTTAATGAACCTCCTCAGAGGTCACATTCCATCAGCTCAGGCATTGGGGTCTTTGGTTAACAAACTGCCTTTAGAAACCGATGAAAAAAACATTAATCTGGAAGAAGCTATAGATGCATTGTTTAACGAAGAAATCTGGGATTCCTGCAATTTTTACGATGGAAATAAGTGCTCTCTTATGGACAATGGTGGTTATATAAATTTCAGTAGGCTAAGGTTAAATGGCCATTATGTGTGTTGTACTGCTCATGCTATTGTTGGATTAGCCTGGATAGGGAAAGGTTTACTTATGCGTGGTCATCAAATGATAAAAGGCATTACTAGTTCCTTCTTGAGTTGCATACTATTAAATGGAAATGGTGGGACCCTTCAAGACTCAGACGCTCTGGTGGAAGACAATGAAGGGCTAGAAAGGCTGTCTTTGAGGAAATCCGCCGCTGATGCATTTCATGTTCTTATGAGTGATTCTGAAGCTTGTTTGAATAGAAAATATCATGCTACTATTCGACCACTTCATAAGCAACGATTTTACAGTACGATGTTGCCTATATTATTATCATCAATTTTGGAATGTGATTCACCAACTACACGGTATGTATTGAGAAATGGTCATGAACATTTTTTTAAAAATCATTCTGCTACATAAAAGTTGCACCCCTATCCTGCTTTTGTAGTAGTGGAGACTGGAATCGTCGTAGTGGTTCTATGGACATACATAGAATAGCTTAAGACTAAAGGTAGATATTAGAACATAGAAGCCAGATATTTCCATTTTCAGGTTGAGATCCTCTATTTTGTCAAGTCTACGTGAACCTTTTTTTTTTATTTAACTTAAAACTGTCATTCTAAAATGAATATTTTGATCTTAGTTTAGTGTCTTTCTTTCATTCTCTTAGCTTTCTTAACATACTCCTGGATTCTTGAATGTGACTATTCTTAATCAGGCTAGAACTTCTGTACACCTAGATTCGGTTTTTAGCATCGATGCATAGTTTCTGGAAGATTTTGGTTCCGAGTGTATTCTATATTTGCATGTTTTTTAATGATTTGAGCATGGAAGTTTATTCTACTTCCGTACACCTAGATTCAATTTTTAGCATCAACTTAGAGGCCGTTTGGCAACACTGTTTTTCAGCTCATCAGGCTTATCAATCAACTTTTTCACCAAACACGTAACTTTTGCTTTGGCGCGCTGAATTGTGTACTAAGCAAAAAAAAGTAAGGTTGGAGTTACTTTTCTGGCTGTATTGAATGAAGCTACTGTAGATGACCATTTTATCAATTTTCACATATAATTTTTTCTTTATTTTATTAATAAAATATATTTTAAAAATAATTTTTTCTTAAATCAGCTGAATCAACCAATGCAGCCACTTCAGCCAAAACTTTGTAAATTTCAGCAGAATCAGCCAAATCAGCCGATTTTTGTGCTACCAAACGAGCTCTTAGTTTTTGATGTAAAAGTTCTGCCTCAGTTATTGTGTTTATTTAGTATAAATTGCTCCTCCTTGTGGAGATGCCCAAACATATAACGTACAAAAGAATGGACTTTTGCTTGTAAGCCACCTGCCCAATGGTAGATACTCTCTAGAAGATGAAGGTATCTAAAGGGGGGGTTTCTCGAGATGTTAAAAATGCAAATTGCCGTGGTTACATTTAATTGATAAGGAGCACAAATAGTTTTAGGCTTTAGAATCTTATATTTGCTTGGGTTCAGATTTATTAATTTTCTTTTGGTTTCAGATCCTTACTGTACAGAGCTTTCTCACATTTGATCACTGGTGCTCCTCTCACCGCTGTTGTTAATGATTCCCGAAAGGTAAGATAAGTAGCAATATTAAAGAAAGAAACCACCAAATTTTGTTCTACATTTGAAACTAGATACAATAATTGCATTACCCCAGTGCCGCAAAGGCTCCCACCTATGATGGGGTAAGGGGGGGGGTCAGATGTACGCAATCTTACTCATGTACTAAAGGTACAGAGAGGCTTTTTCCGGATGATAGTATGACATATGATACATTTGAAACTAGATATGTAAGGATAATCTCTTACAAATAAGGACAACCAGTGTGGCTGAGAAGTAGTCATACCGGTACTACTATTGCTATCCTCTCTGGTAGTAGATTAGGCAGATAGTAGCACCCACCATAGGAGGTGGTGCTGGATAGTAGCACTCACCATCAGTCACAACACCAGATAGTCGAAGGAGGCACATGACACAATAGTAGTCATCTTCGGTTGCGGCTTTAGACAATAGCGGTGGTCTGCTGTTGTCGGAGGTGGCACCTGTGCATGGTGCTACTGGCCTACTGCTACTGTCATTTTGTCAACCTTATCTGTAAAGAAAATATTTAAGGTTGGGTTTTTATATTTACAAACATGATCAGGTGGTGCTATGTACCGCAAGTTAATTACAAATATAAACTTGTTCGTAGGTTGTCCCTGTGCTACTAGATTGCCTATTAATGTTGCAAGATGATGAACATGATAAAGATATCATCTTCAGTGTCTTATTAGTCCTATCTGGAGTATTGATGGATAAAGTTGGTATGTACTCTTACAAGAATCTATCCTGTTATGCTGAAAGTATTACTCTGTAATATTAATTTTATTCACTATGTGATTGTGCTCTCACCATATTAGGCAGTATGTGGTATGTCTAGTTACTGGAAATGCTTAACAGATATTCTTTTTCACCAATAAATTGCGTTTATGCATTCCCTGATTTTTATTGTAAGAAGCAACATCCAATCCTTAAGAGTTTGGGGTCGGAAAGAAGCACTAGGAAACATGAAAATATTTATCTTTGTGAAGTAGTTTGGATTTACTAATTTGAATCATCATTTAAGTCCATGGATTCCTCAGCATCAATTGTTTTAGGATAGAAAATTATGGGCAAAGGCTTGCTCTTTTTAATCATAAAAGAGGTTATCCATGCATTGGACTATCTCAAACAGAAAGGGGACATATAGAAACAAGGGAACCTATAGAAACTAAGGAAACAAATATATTATTAGGATTTAGGGAACTATTTATATTATTCTAATATATTCCAATACCCCTCAACGACATGGTAATCTGCTAAAATTTTCCATGACTTAGCAAAATAAGGTAGGTAGGCAAAAATTATAAGTCAGCGATGCCATTCTTTTGAAACCCGCTAAAAGTCACTAAAACCAAGGGAACACCATTCTGTTTGAGCTACTTGCCAAAATTAGTATCAATCAAATGATGAATGCTATTCTTTTCGAGCCTCTCATATCGGTTCTAACAATCACCAACATATTAATTAGTTAAATACTACGTATGTTACATGTGGTTAAACCTAACAAATAATGTAAAAGAATTTGTTTTTCTCAAATAAGACTCTTTATGGGGATGGAGGTAGTGGATTATTTATTCTTACAACCTACCCTAAGTCCCTACTACTGTTTGCAAGAGGCAATGAGTGTGCTAGAATTCGAGGATGCATATATATATATTTGAATATATATTTGAATTTTACATTTTATTTGTTAGTGTAATGACCAATTGCGCACCTAATAGCCATAAACCATACCAGACTAATACAGAAGGTGTGATCTTTACTTCAACAACTTTGACACAGTTTGCAAGGTAATTCCCAAATTAATTTATTGATTATTGCAGGACAAGAGGCTGTCAATGAAAACGCTCATCTTGTTGTCCACCAACTTGCTAAACTCGTTTCATATCCTCATATGATGGTATTTCTTGCATATATTCACTTATTCTACATTCTTTGACCAGTATGAAATTATTAAGATTTTTGTGCTTGAGAATTTTCAAATTATTCAGGTAGTCCGTGAAACAGCAATTCAGTGTCTTATGGCCTTGTCAGGTCTACCCCAATCGAGAATATATCCCTTCAGAAAAGAGGTTAGTTTTTAGAGGTTAAATAATGAAATGCTAATCAGATATTTGATGTGATCCTTCCCGTTTTGCAGCATCAACTCTAACCACCTAGTAACTATTTTGCAATATAAACCAAGTTCACCTAGGCAAAAAGGTTTATATAATGGATTTCAGTACTGACCACACATGAAATCATCAGAAATTGTGGCTCATGATTCATGAAATGGACACATTGATTACGAATCATCTTCCTTCCTTTATAGCTATGAAATCAACATTACTCAGTAGTTTAACAGATACGATTGATAGAGTAAAGCATCTCATATTAATTTTATACTCCTTCCATCCCTGAAAAAGGCTGCCCCTTTCTTTGTCCGTCCTTGAATAATATTCATCTTTCATTTTAAAAGAAAGAATACTGTGGATTAACATTTTGCTCTCTTTGCACAAGTTGTAAACACACAATAAGCGTGCAAAGGAAAAGGTCAAAGTAGAATGCAGACTTTAAGTCAAGGTCAAGTTCTCTCTGCACAAGTTGTAACCACACAGTTTCTCTGCACAAAATTTTGCTGTCTGCATAGAGGAAGTATAATTCTTGGCACTCTGCTCGAGTCAACAACCAACAACAACATCCAAGCCTTAGTCCCAAAATAGTTTGGGCTCGGCTAATATGAATCGAGATGAGAAATCGAAGTTAAAAACGATCCAAAGAGATCAGTTCTTCACAAGTATACTTTCCCCCCACTTCGCTCTCCTCAAGTGCAGACTTTAAATCAAAGCTCCTGTTTGAGAACCTATAAAATATTTCTAGTTAGCCGTTCAGCCTTTTTAGTGAGACTTTTTTGGTTTTGTACCAATTACCAACTTATTTGATTGGATTTGCTGAATGAAAAGCAAAATGTCATTTTGAGTTCCATTTAGATTACAAAAATAATCTCTTTCAGATATATTCTGTAGAAAGTTTTAGCTCTTTTCTTGCGCCCACATTTACTAAAGATTCATGACTTTCTGTTTTTGGTGTTTGGTGTCAAGGTTTTGCAAGCTATATCAAAAGCAGTTGATGATCCAAAGAGAGCTGTTCGGCAAGAAGCTGTCAGATGTCGGCATACATGGTCAGCAGTCATGGGTCGATAGCTGCATTGGAAAACTATACTAGAGCTTAAAGCGTATATTATACATATGAATACCATTATACTAGAGCTTCTCTTTACAAGACTACAAGCAAGTATGGTGTTAAATTTTTTATAAATGTTTGAGTTTATTGTTTCCAATAGATAGTTTGTAATACCGTAACTAGTATCGTGACCTCATTTGCTTTAATCTATTTATAGTTTATGATGTACACAGATTCGTCCATTCCTCGACTGAATTTCTGTTTGTTTTTTGCACTCTTATTTTTCAAATGCAATTCTTTTGTACGAAGTGTCGATGTAAATGAAAGGGTTTTGTTAGTTTACATTGCAGGACTTTTTTTTTGGGAATTTTTCAGAAATAGACTAAAAACTGAAAGTAATATCACTTTTGTCATCCTTAAGAGTTTCTTTCACAAATAAACTAAATTGTTAAGTTCAAACTTTTCTTTCAAAAATAGATCATTCACGTGTATCAAGCTCACCACCGACTCTAATTTCTTCTCGTCACACGTGCACCACCTGTGCACTTCAAAGTTTGAATCATGTACTGCTCCCCTTTTCACTCACAATTCACAAACTAATACGTGTAGACACTACCCTTGCAAAAACAAATACGTGTAGGCACTAAACTTTAATTTTTATTTTTAAATTGGAATGTAAAAACTCATTAACTCTTGATAATGCTTAGAAAACAATAAAATTTAAAAAGGAAATTGATTAAAAAAAATGTAACAAAACTCAGCATCAAAAATTAAATTCTGAAAAATGCAATATTGGAAATTTGTAAACTAAATTTGAAAATTAAAGAAAATGAATTTTAATTTTACAAAAAAGTTAGAAAAATAAAATGTATGTACCAATATTTTAACAAAAACTTTAGAAATATTTTTTAATATACTTTTTTAAATAGAAAACATAATTTATTTTATAAAATATTAAAAAATCAAGTCTTACAAAAAATCAATAACATTAAAATTATTACAAATACGTAAAATAAGATAAAAAAAATTTCAAAAAATTGAATAATATAAAAACTAATTGGAATCATTTAAGAAAAGTAATTATTTAAAAAATTGTAAAATAGACATATTAAAGAAAATAAAAATTCAAAAATAAAATAAAGTGACATACTTTTCGGAAAAACTAGAAAATAAGAAAACAATTAAACTTTAAAAAAGAGTAAAAAAATCTAAAAATAAAAATTTGGAAAATTCTATGAAAGAAAATAATAAATAAAAATGAAAATTTTAAGAAAAATATAAAATAAACCAAGAAAAATTAAAGAATATATAATTACCTAAAAAAATTTAAAAAACATATAAAAAAGTGTAAGCTGGTTATTTTTAAACCTATGAAAAATACAAATTTGAAAAAATTTAAGATAAATAAAGTGCATAACTACGTAAAAATTAAAAACAATTGTAAAAAAATACAAATTCTGATATTTGAAAACATAAAAAATCTCAAAATAATATATAAAATTTGAAAACACCCATAAAATATAATATAATTGTAGATAAGAATATAAAAATAGAAAATAAGATTCTTTGATTTTTAAATAATCATAAAACTAGAGTAAACTAAAAAGCATGTAAAATATGAAATCATGGAACATATCAATCATCATCATCATCATCAAAGTGCTACTTTTGTTGCATATTGTTTCTTTGTGTTTATCTTTGTCGATAACTTTAATTATTTTTGTTTCTTCATGATTTTTTTTTGTTTATTCAAAAATGTAAACTTATCATTTTAGGTGTTTGTATATTTAGCAATATCTAATTTTTTTTATTCCAAATCACTAACGAATATAAATATAAATGAAATAGAAAAAATGAAATTAAAATCAATAATAAAGAACAATAGACAATACAATACAACAAAATGCAACAAGATGCAACACAATGCAACAAGATGCAACAAAAAATAACGCATATGATGCAACAAAAAAAACATGATGCAACAAAAATAACACACGATGCAACAATAAACAAATGATGCAACAAAAAGAAACAAAAAAGCAACACTATGAAACAAAGAACAACAAAACAAAACCTTATTAAAGTATCACATTTTTTAATGTGTATCCCCACATTCAAGATGAGAAGTGTCCTTATAATACAACAAAATATAACAATACACCGTAAATTTGTTTTTTAGCATATATATAACATTTACATAGGGGTGACCGGGTGAACAAAAAATCGTGAACGCTTCTTTCCCATTAGAGCAATTACGCCATGCATATTTCACTTTGTGCTTCTTCACAACTTCAACTTTGGAAGCTCTTTCTTTAATTTTGTAAGTGAATCAATGTGAAGAGCTTTGATGCCTTATTAGCCGTCGAACAACATAAAACAACAGAATATAGTAGAAAGCAACGCGATACATGTAAAAACATATTTTGTTCACCTATCTGTATATGCAGAAGCAGGTTATATTTCAAATTCTAAATAAGAAAAAAGTAAGCTTGCAAGTGTCTTCAGTTTTAAAAGAAAATACCAGTGAGCAGTATTGTGAAGCCAGTAAATCGGCAAAATGCAGTCAAAATAGAGTAAAAACGTGAGAACAAAATGAATTCATTCATTTGCAAAGAAGGATATCCTAAACTCAGTTATTTTGTTATCAACATCGATATTATGATCATGTTTGGGATATCTTGTTTGTTGGCATAGCATGGTGCTGACTGCTAAGCAATACTGACCCTACTGCTCATGATGGGGTGACCGCTATAAGAGAGGCATGTAAAAAGTTGAACCGCATTGAGCTATCAGAATGTGAAACGTATGCCTCTTGTGAGTCATGCTCAATGTGCTTTGGTGCTATACTACTTTCACGAATTAAGAGGCTTGTTTATGGAGTCAAAGCTGAAGCTGCCATTGCCATTGGATTTGATGACTTTATTGCAGATGCTCTAAGAGGAACCAGTGTCTATCAAAAAGGCTAACTTGGAGATAAAGAGGCTGATGGCAATGAGGCCATTATTGCAGAGCAAGTGTTTGAGAAGACGAAATCAAAGTTCACTATTTATTGATCAAAAGGGAGAGCCCCCTGCCCATCTTTGGAGAAAACAATCTTATCTTCCCTTGACATTATAATGATACTAAATATTCAAACTTTACACATTTGATCAAGAATCAGGATATTGAAATTCAATGTGCAAAATTGAATATATACATTTGTTGAGTACAATACAATAAAGTGTAGGGGGTTTCTTATAAAAAAAAGCTAGTTTGTAGTTTCTAAATTTCTATATTTCAGCCAATTCTAGTTTCTAGATTTCCAAACTAATCAATCTCAACCTTAGTTTGACTGAAATTTCCACATTATATCAATTAAAAGCTTTTAAAAGAGAATCACAATTATTTCTAAACTTTACAATTGGATAAATAATAGAGTTCCAACATTTACTCCTTATCTAAGCATGATAGAATGAACCCTATATTATATATCTCTACAACAAATGAAAGTCTTCATCATGAAAGCACATGTATACAGAATTAGAAAAGTATGCCATTTTAACAGAACCACATAATTCAAATGCATTCATTTACTAAGTATTTTGTCAAAGTCAAATTCACATTGAAATTAATTAACTAATACTATACTAGGTAATGAGAATATGTGAAAACCACGAGCAGAATTCACATTAATAGTAATATAGTTGTACATTTGTACATGTGCACATTGGCTAAAGCAAGAAAAACAACAACAAAAACAACATTACATAGGTAGCAAGCCAAGAATAAAAAAGACTGAAACATAAAATATGAGTTAGAGTACACTCAAAGGCTCAACTAAAACTGAAAGTAAATTATTAAAAAAATAAAGCTAAATCGGAAACCAAAAGTAATCTTGACTATATGAATTATAACAAAAATAAAATTGAAAGTAAAATGCTCAAAATCTCAAACGCATACCTGCAAATCAGATATCAGTAGGCAATCGGGCCGCGATTCAGAAAGCGAAGTTGCAAGCAAGCACGGACGGAGGGCGGAGCCGCACGTGAAGGAGGGGCGGAGAGCTAAGCACGGAGCAGCACAGGACGGAGGCAAATAGAGGAGTCGCAGAAGCCGGAGGTGCAGTCGGAGCTGGGCAGGAGGAGACAGGAGGAGAACAGCCGCACACGTGTCTGTGCTTCACTTCGACAGGTCGTGAGGTTGGACGAATAAGGACTGAGAAGCTGTTCTCTCACCTGATCTGAATTTTTTAAGTTCTGATCGAATTTTTCTGATCTGATCTGAATGTTCCTGATCTGATCTGAATCCTTCTGATCTGATCTGAATCTTTCTGATCTGATTTGAATATTTCTAAAATTATAATTACTATAATTATAAATGTAATTACACATATATAATTTAAATATAATTATAATTATAATCATAATTATAAATTTTTTAATTATAATTACAAACATAATTATAATAGGTATAATTATTATTATACGTACTAGTTATCTCACCCGTGCGTTGCACGGGAGTGAAGTATATACCTATAGAATTATTTAGATGCAATTACATAAAAACTACAAAAAAAATGATATTGAACCAATAAATGAAAATATTATATTAAATCTAAAATACCAAATCATTGTAATATCAGACAAATAAATAAATGGTAACAATTAAATGTTTAACATCTATATATATATATATATATATATATATATATATATATATATATATATAAACGGAATAGTGGCAACAAAGAATGAGCGGGAAACTGGAGAGAGAGTCTGATATATACCGAGTATTTGCTACGCTAATTAAACAAACTGTTTGAGAAACTGAAAAGTCATTGCATTCACCAAAACTCTGTGGCATATCCAATGCATAAACGATATAAAAGATCAGACGCATCTAAGAATTTGTTGGCTCCATGCAAAATGTAGTTGACTGTTGGGTTCCCAATGCGAAAATATGTGTTATATATAGATGTCATTTCTGCCGCCATAAACACATGTAAGCCAAATTGCAAATTGCAATAGAGAAGAAAGCATCTGTATGATTGAGAGTTAATTGGATGGAAATGTTTAATTTTATTTTATTTGCACTATATACTACGGAGTATGTATTACTCCGTATAGTATTAGCTTAACTTGGTTAAGTGTTATTGGTCGGAGACTCGGAGGTGAGCGTTTATACACATGCTGCACGCTATATATGATGAATTGATGATAACGATGTGTATCTTTGTGCATGTGGATCTTCCCAGGTAAGAGATACATATTTTATTTCCGTCGATATATTTGGCAATATGTATATGAACTTTTTGT